TTTGTTAACTTATACCCAAGTTTTATGAAATATTAAAATATGAGTGTCTATTGAAAGAAATTGAGAAAACTTTAGTTTGAAAATATCTTTGATTAGGCTTGCCACCTTTTCGAAAAGTCATACAGATCTAACTGAGTTTAAATGTACCCAGCAAACGTTGAGGTTAGTTATCGATTAGAGAATGATTGGAGAACTAGCCACATTCTCCAATCTCAAACGTTATAGAACGACTCGAAAAACGATCGAGAATCATAGCGATCTCAACAACAATAGGACATAGTTCTCGACTCGAGAAAATGTTAATTCTCCAATCGAATTCTAATATTGATCTCTACTGGGATTCGAACGTGAATTTAAAACTGCTGTTTTGCTTTACTAAACAAAATACTTTGTTTGTAAAATTTGTATTAAATGTATTTGCAATAAAATAATGAATTACTTAAACTTAAAAATAATTTATGATTAATTCATTCGGAATATTGCTTATTTATATTTATTCGAATTTGCGTCGTTTCTCTCATCGTTCTTTAATCTAATTCTAATGTAGTTCTCTAACTTCGTCATCGACTCGAGAATGACTAGAGAATTACCCTAGTTATCTATTGTCGAAATCCAAATTTCTCTAACGTTAGAGTGGTGGGTATATTATACGAAAGATATTTTTTGGGAAGGTCATTAAATTTGCACAGATCCTTACAAATATGAGAGGTCAAACTAGAGACGTTGGCTTGTAGATGTGCGAAACGATTTTTATTTTTTGAAGTTATAACTTTTGTTTTATCGGTACAGGGTGTTCACAAACGGCTGCACGGATAAATATTGCACTCGGATCGCTTATAACGTTGACTAAGAGTAAAAAGAGTTTTTAAGTTTTTGAAGCTCAGTTTTGGGTATTTTAATGCCATGAAAGTTTACTTTTGAATAGCTTTTCAACTCATTATTAGTTTTTGAATGCCACAAATTTTAACACTTTTTTATTCTTGAATTTAATTGGAAGTGTTTTGTCTTTCAAATCTAGATTATTCCGGCCCGCTTCTTGCTAGATTCGCATTAAAATAAAAATGGATTAAACTCTTTCAATCGTAAAATATATTTAGGGCTTGTTTTAAAATACAACTTAACTTAACATTTCTGCTATGTTATTGCAGTATTTTCCTACGTCTCAGACTTCTAAATTTGTCTCGCATTAATTAAAAATCAGTAATAAGACTTCACTTAATCCCCAAGCGACGCGCCAAGTAGTTGTATGCTCATCCATTCAATGGTAGAAAGAAGCACCTTAGCGCAACTGCACTCATTCTTTAGACATCTTCAATTTTTTCCTATTCCATTTTTGAAGCATTCATAGCCAACAGTGCGTATACGCAACATTCAAGTAGCGCGACAATTTGTTACTCATTCGTCTGTGTGCTTTTTGTCAGAGTGCGCGTGTAACACAATGAGTGCGTAAATAGCCGACACATAACATATAAATACAAACACATACATATATGTATATGTGCAAATTAATTACTAAGCACAAATACAAAGGTAAACCAACGCTGCATAACTACACTGGCAGTTATAATAAGAAAAGCTTTTACCTGTATTACGTACAAAAAATGGGTGCAAGAAGCAAGCAAATCAAATATAAAAGAAAATATGTATGTATGTGTACAGACAAACGCACCTACTTACAAACAAGTGAACACGCACTTATTAACTAACTACATATGCATGCACTTACGTGTTAAAGAGCACATCGAACTCAGGACTAAGGGCTTACGCACGCACCAGAAATGAGAGCAAAGCGGCTGAGTGGCTGGCTGACTATTTACGTAGCTGCTATTTATGTATGTATGTATGTATGTATGTGAGCCTTGCCGCCGCCAGTTTGATTCAAACTAATAAGCCGAGCACAAGCTTTGCCGTCAAAAGTGCCATTTAAGGGCTTTTCTATAAAAGGGGTGTATTTCCGCTTACATGCAAGTGTGCGAACACGACCGGCTGACTCACTGCCTCAGAGCTTATGTGTGTAAATAAATGTACATATACATATATAGACGTACCCGTATTTGGCTTTGTAGATGTTTTCACCCCTTTTGGTAGGTGTACTCATAGTGTGTGCTTAGCCAGTGCAGAAAGCGTCTGTAGTTGAGGCGCGTCATCGAGGTTATTCAACTGCCTCGAAACTTTTCCCCAATGCATGTAAGCGTTCATGTGGAACACATGCATACGAATGGCATGTGAGTGCATCAGGGCATATATTCTGTGCGTTTTTCATTGCACCTTTTGTACTTTTCCATGCTTTTCCGCTTGTGCTTTTCCAGAAACTTTTTCTCCTATATACTACATAGTATGAATGAATGAATGCACCTTCCTCTTGTCTGTCTCACTTATCCAGTATTTTTGTAACTGATTCGAAATTTTATTTATTCACATTTTATTGATTTTTACTGGCTTTTCATGCTCGTTTACATATAGACACGCAGACATATTCATCAATAGTTCACAAATATAGACAACTAATGAATTTCCGTCAGCCTTCAGTCCGTTGGGCTTAGGTTTAGTTTTGTGCGTAATTTTATGCCGCCTTACCTGTTTTAAGTGATGATGAGATACATACTTTTTGTTGTTTAGTTTAAATTTGTGTTTATAAGTGGGTTAAAGCTATTTGCTTTTGTGCTGCAGTGGAAGTAAATACATATTTTTAACTGCGTAGACAAAGTTGAGAGAACTCTCTTTAACATTTACCTCCCAACTGCACAATCGGATTCCTTAGAGAGAAAAAACGTTATAAAAATTTAATTGGATTTTTCATAAATACATAGCTAATAAATACTTCGAAACTTAGTGAAAAGCGTAGGCGGTTTTATATTCCGGTACATACATAATTAAAGGCTACTAAGAATTTTAGTAATTAAGGGTGGGTAAAAAAGGCGTTGGCACCAGATATATCATGATGTGTAAACATCTGTGCACGACTTGGCCAACCGTTAGACGATTCAGCTACTTACACAAATAAATTAGGTTAGAAATTAAACAATTATTTCATTTAATATGTTTGTTTTTGGTTATCGGCCTTCGAATTATAAACTCAGATAATTTTTCTTTATTAAGCTCAAGGCTTAGCAAATAAATAAAACCAGGGACCGTAACAGTTACAACCTTTACTAAAAAAAAATCGCTCTTTAACCATTAAATTTTGACTTAAAAGTTTTTTACAGATTTTTATTTTAAGTATCCAAAATTACAATTATTTTCCAAATAATCTGCAAATAACAGTTATTTTTGATTTTTAAATTATACATTTTAGATAACAGTTATTGAAGACTTTTATTTATAAAAGTCAGTGACTAATTTTTATTGATGACTTTTGTAAATAAAAGTCTTCTATAACTTATATCTAGGACATATACTATACAAATCAAAAATAGCTGTTACTTACAGATTATTTAGATAAAAATCAAAAATAATTTTTTTTAAGTTTGCAAAAAATTACAAATAACAAGTAAGAAAGTCTAAGTTCGGGCGGAGCCGAACATTAAATACCCGGCGCAAGTATTAAATATATGTTTTCCTCCTTTCCGAAAGCTACCGCTACATGATAAGCCGGGGTGTATACATTTTAAGTAAATTAGCGTCCTTAAATTTCGAAATATTGAAATTTCAAGCATTTCTGAAATTTACCGTTATATGAAAAGCGGCCTCAATTTTAGTCCGATTTCAACAATTTTCAACGGTTTGCTTTTATGTGGCAAG